GAGGCAGCTGACCTCCTTGAAAAGGATGCAACGACTAACATCAACAGTGAGGAAATTCATGTCCCGTGGCCCAAGTCTCATTTAAAATTTACACTGAATGCAATTGTCGACTCAAAGTGGCAAGAAGAGTGGTATTCTGCATTGCAAGGCAGAAGAGTCCACAATTTTTTCTCAAAAACTGACAAAGAGGCACTACACTATGACCATGTTCTGAATCAGTATATCACATGGCACGGTCCTTTTCCCACCTACTTCCATGACAGAGGCATGTGCCCCACGGATCTCTGCATATGTGGCGAAAGGGGTGACCCTGATCATTACATTTTTGACTGTAATCTAACAGACGGCAAACATCTGATTAAGCCTAACAACAATCTAATACCGTTATATTTCTTAAACTTTCTACTCTTCTTGCCACTTTGAGCAGACACCTTAGGTCCAAAATCAGAGAAGTTCTTATACATATCCAAAGGCTCGGACTGGATATTTGTCATATCTAATGCTTATTTATCTCCATATGTTACTAAACTATATTTTTCTTTTTTTAAATTTCATTTTAATGTTCCAACAATTTCATTTATCTACGCAATGCTGATGAACGGGAGCTCCAAAGACTTGCTCATTACACCTTACGCCTTAGAAAAGACATTCGTTCTTACAGTTAGCTTTTGGAAGCATCAGTTGTTGAACTTTTCAAGGACAGTCTTTTCTCAATATGATTTGTGTACACTATTAATACCTGAACTCAGTTATCTCAGAAAGTCCTCTCAAGTGATTGATGGTAAAAAAAGAGGGGCGGGAGAACCTCGGACCACCCCCTGGGATGTTCTCCCTTAAAATTGGGGTGGAAGGTTTAACAGTTAGTTAGGTTCAGCAATACCTCAATTACCTGTGGTACTACGGAGGTGCTGGCCTAGCTTCTACCTGTACCTGTTGTTTCTCTCTGCTTCATTGCACCATAGCTCGTAACTACGTCATTTGCGACCTTGCATTCCTACGTGATTCCGAGTTGTCTCTGTACCTCCTACACACTCTGCAAGATTGTCGGTCTGGTAGCGAATCACCTTGTATATATATATATATGTACTTTTGGTGCCATAGATTGCAACCGAAAAGGGAGGTGCACATATGCATCTTATAGCAGACCCATGCACAAAATTTTAACGTTCTGAGGCTACGCGTCTTTTGAGTTATGCGAAACTACACGTACGTACAGACGTCAAAAAAATCTCTTCTGAATATATTTTAAATCCATTTTGCAATCCGTTTTTGGAAAAAGAGTCCTTTGTTTAGTCCTACATACAGGTGTAACGCAAAAACATCGGAAAACAATTCGAATCGAGAGCAGTCAAAATGAATATTTTCGTTTAAATACGATGCCCGAAATTTTTTGCGATCGCAATACTTCCTTTACTTCGTACAAGGAAGTAAAAAGAATCCTTTTTCATAGATTATAACAAAATTACGATTAATCCAAATAGATGGTAAAGAAAATTATTTAATAAAAGATTAATATGAAATATTAATTAAATTACATAAATTGCCAATTCATTAAAAAAAAATTTTAATTTTATTTTTTTAAATATTCACTTCATCCGATTTTTAAAAAATTCTCAATTTTGGTAAATAATTATAGATACTCAGTCAAATTACTGTAAAATGTCGGCCTATCATTTCTGATAAGCTGATCTGAAATGTTTATCTGTATCCCTTTTATATCAAAAATCATTCTGTTAACAAAGGGCTTTAGGCAAAATTAATGCATATATTAAATCGTTTATTTAAGGTTTAAAAAATCATTCTTTTAATTTTGTATATAGTGCAAACAAAATGAGAGATAGAGGGCAGTGCTTTTCGACTTTCCTTGTCACCGGCGTATGTTGTTATCAAATTTAAAATGTTTCCAAAAATTTCAGATATATAATCTACTACTAAGCTTTGTTGTTTTGTATTTTCATTCTAGCAACTGTTAAAATGAAGCACAGAAAGCATACTTTCATCGCAGTAATAGAAAATGTTACCCACTTCAAGGAATTCCTGAAATAATAATGCATAGAATTCATGCACCGTGTGGCAAAAGTCATTAGCCGGCCTTTCGTTTCACAACCGTTGGTCGTAGACGTATACTTAAAACTTTATTGCTTTAAATGAAGCAAATATTTATGCTTTGGCATTTTTTAGTTTAAAGAAATAAATTTTGCGAAAATTAGAAAATCTAATTTTTATATGTTCTTCTCAGCCTATACATATATTTAAAAACATTTTGTGTTCGTTATCAAAAAAGAAAAAAAAAAATCTGTGGCTTCCGTGAGACAAAAATTGATTGATATATTTTATATTCAAGTTTAAAAATATATTCAGAGGCTGCCCGCAAATTAAAGAGCAAAATGATTTCATTTGTACGTAACTGAAAATAAAATAGCAGTTTAGAAGAAGGTTTCAGATGTTAAAAGATTAAATGACAAGTATTTCTATGCAGACTGTTATGAAAAGTATTGATAATTATAATTTCCTTTTCATAATGAAGATCTTACTGAAATAATCTAAAGGAATTCGTTTTGTAGAAGACACTTGCAGGCTTCAGTACTGCCATGCAGCCAACTCGTAAAATTATTTGCATTAATTAAAGAGGAAAAAGGTTTGTACTTTAATGGGTAATTTTTTTTTTTTTTTTTTTTTTTTTTTTGGTACAATATAATAAAACTTTGTGAGAATGTCGTTAAAGCAATTTTAGAGATTGAAAATTATAAATGACTTGTGCGAAAATTCTTTTTTTTTTTTTTTTTTTTTTTTTTTTTTTTTTTTTTTTTTGTTTCATTTTAATGTTCCAACAATTTCATTTATCTACGCAATGCTGATGAGCGGGAGCTCCAAAGACTTGCTCATTACACCTTACGCCTTAGAAAAGACATTCGTTCTTACAGTTAGCTTTTGGAAGCATCAGTTGTTGAACTTTTCAAGGACAGTCTTTTCTCAATATGATTTGTGTACACTATTAATACCTGAACACAGTTATCTCAGAAAGTCCTCTCAAGTGGTTGATGGTAAAAAAAGAGGGGCGGGAGAACCTCAGACCACCCCCTGGGATGTTCTCCCACAAAAGTGGGGTGGAAAGTTTAACAGTTTTAGCTAGGTTCAGCAATACCTCAATTACCTGTGGTACTACGGAGGTGCTGGCCTAGCTTCTACCTGTACCTGTTGTTTCTCTCTGCTTCATTGCACCATAGCTCGTAACTACGTCATTTGCGACCTTGCATTCCTACGTGATTCCGAGTTGTCTCTGTACCTCCTACACACACTGCAAGATTGTCGGTCTGGTAGCGAATCACCTTGTATATATATGTACTTTTGGTGCCATAGATTGCAACCGAAAAGGGAGGTGCACATGTGCATCTTATAGCAGACCCATGCACAAAATTTTAATGTAACAAAATTATAAATCTAAAACACTAAATAAATCGCAAAAAAGAGTATCATTTAATAACATTAAAGAAGAAAAGTTAACTTCGAATTATTTTGATTTATTTATTAACCGACCCCTCAAACTCAGAGTGACGTCCAAAATCTCAAATTCTGAAATTAAATGTTAAGTCAAATTTTTATCATATTACAGTCAAATTTTTGAATATATATGTTACCGGCAAAGTTTGAATTACAACACTGTATAGAATGCCTAGGCATTCTATACAGTGAATTTTAGAATTTTTTAGAATGCCTAGGCATTCTATACAATGCCTAAAACTATCCGGCAATGTATGAAACGATTCGCACATTCCCTAGGCATTCTATAGAATGCCAAATGATAACCCGGCAAAGTATGAATACATTTCTGATCCGTTTAGAAGAACTAAATTACTTACCAGAAGTTAATAAATGACGTAAAAAGGCCAAAATGACTAGTAAGAAGCAACCACGGGACTACTGGCTACTGAATCGCTAGGATGTGATGTTTGTGAAAAATAAAATTACATTCATTTATACTGTTTAAAGAAAGCGTCAGTACTATACAGTATTACGTCACGGACGCTGAGTTATTTCCCGTACATTATGAAAACTCATTTGAGTACTGGATACGGACGACATGATAGAATGTTGAAAGAACTTTCAACCACATACAAAAACGTTACACGTAATGATATTGAACCGTACAATTAATTACCTTGGTGTGTCCTGTCAGAAAAAAACAAAAAGCTATTAAAAAGAGAATTATTGTGAAAACTATGAATGTTTCTGAATTTAAATTTCTGTTGTCGGGTAGATCTTATTTATTCCCAGTCTCATCCAGATAGGACATAGATAGACAATAAATACAAATTTATTGTCTTATATCAAGATCATATCACTATCATATCTTTTTTTTACATATTTCGAATAACAGTTTTTAATGGCACTCTTTCATAAATGTTTCAAAATAGCATTTGTATTTTTGAGAAGTGAACGTCTTTTAAATAACAACCTTATTATAACCTTTTTTCATGCTTCAGTATAAATTACTTTTAAATTCTTAAAGTGCATTTATCATTCTATAGAATACGCAGGAATTATATACGATGCCTAGGAAAAGTATGTAATAATCCTCGTAATTCATACTCATCTTAAAATCGTCGGGTGTTATATACAATACTTAGGCATTCTTTAGAATGCTGGCGTCTCATACTTTGCCGGTAACATATATATACAATGATTACTGAGTTCTCGAAATACAAATATAGTAAAAAGTTTTAAAAAGTTAAATAATTTTAAAAGTTAGATTTCGGATAAAAATTTAGGTTTCGTAATTTTCTCAAAATTTATTTCTTTAAATTTTTAGACATGAATATTAAGAATATACGTTTAATTTAATTGTAATTGTTTTAAATTTTGTCATAGTTTGCGACATTTAAAACAATTTTGTAACTGAAAGTATATGTTGCCGATAAAGACCAACGGTTGCAAGAACAAAGCACAGGTAACGAACGACACAGGTAACGGTGTATGATAATTATTTAGTTATACTTTATTACATTGTTTTTAATTTTAGTGTAATGTAGATGGCGTGATGTCAATTTTCTTAAACATGTTCGATGATAATTTTCAGTCTCTTGCGACAGGACGCGAAAACTTAGAGAACACTATGACAAAGGTGAATGCCTGAAAACTTGTAAAGAAAATTGCGAGTAAGTTTTCATTAAATAAATAAAAATTGAGAAGTGTTTATTATATTTTTCATTTGTACAGCTAACTGGACGGCTCACATGATATTTTGCTTCAAGCCAGGTCAGAAGTGGGAAGTTATTTACTACCTAGCCAACCGCAGCCTATGGGCAGGGTCGGCAGACAGGACAATCTTGTATTTATTGCTATGTATTATTAGAATTACAATAATAGTTGGCAGATGTACTTCTGCTTACATTACGGTAACTGGAACTTATAGACAATGGAATTTTACAATCTCTTAGAAACAGAATTTTACAGATATTTACAATGATGTTTTAATAGTTGTAGTTCCAGAAGAGAAAATTTGAAGCTGTGTCTATACGAATTTTGAACAAAACTCGTAATTGTGTTATTACGTCTTACAGTTATTGAAATGCATTGCCTTTATTACAGAATTGGTGTTTACAGTATTTCCATCGTTAATGTTTACGGCCTTTTCAGTCTCGAAAGGTGTTACAACTCATCAGATTTATCATTACTGTATTTAATTATCTGTATCGCTCTATTTAGAGCTCTGTGATTGCCTGGTACCACCTTGCATCACTTTCGTTCATTATTTATAGATGGTTTTGGCACATATACTTGGTCATGTGATCATATGACTTGAAGTCGTATGACAGGTGTATAGGTAGTAGCTGAGATCGCTTTTAATGCCACGGCAGAACATGTCCGTTTTGCTTTTGCCAAATCTGTATAGATATGCAGGGATGGGGCAATGACCTGCATATAGCTGTGTAGCATAGCTGCAGTTAGTCTTGATTTCGGGGAAGACCTTCGAAAAATATTTATAAATCTCTCGCCCTTCATCCGTGTTGTCCGAATTCTCTTGTCATTCTGATATGGCCAGAACATTGGTCTTGCTCTTGAAGTGCGAAACTGCAAATGCAGATGTGATGCGTACTGGGATCTGCTATTGCGGCTTTCGCTAGTTTATCTGCGAGTTCATTTCCTTCTATTCCGATGTGGACTTTGATCCATTTCACTTTAATCTTTTCTTTGCTGCTTGCAGTGAGATAGTGGATGTCATGTATAATTCTGGTTTTGCATTTGGTACCTGTTATTGCCAAAATACTAGAGAAACTGTCTGAGCTGATTATAGTTTGTGTTCGATGTGCTAGTGCCCAGTTAGCTGCTCACCTAATAGTCATCAACTCTGACTGAAATACAGAGTTAATAGGAAGTAATTTAACACTCCAATTAAATTAAATTGGATTACAAAATTATTTCCGCACTGTCTGATTATTTTGACAAACATAAAATGCGCAGCTTGTGCCTATGTCCATTTTGGAATTATCTATGCAGATATTTATTAGATATTACGCACATGCGTTTATGGTGAAGATCTCTGCAAATCGTACAGCTGAAAGAATGCTGTCAAACATTGACTTTGTTCTCATAATCTGAGCTGATAAAATGATTCTGCTATAAGAAGTGCTGATACCTTATAATATTTTATAACGTAAATTTAAGCTTTAATTTCAATGTTAAATCAAACCTTTAATTAAACATTAAAAAATATCTCCTCTTTTTTCATTTAGGAAATGGAGATATATTTATACCATTAAGGAAAGCGACATTTCAGTAAGTATTTTATATTCAGTATTAAATTGTATACATCATTGAGTATAGTACATTATACAGTATCATTCAGTATTTGTTATGCATCACAGTCACATATTTTTAGTCACATAATTTCTCGAAAACAAAGAAGAAAATTAAATCATTTAAAAAATTATGTAACTGTGGTTTCTGGAGCTCCAGCCCTTTGATGTTACTATTAATCTTTCCCTTAAAATTTCATTTCGAAGGCTTTATAATAATTGAAGGACTATGGAACACAATGAGCTTACACCAGAAAGAACAATGAAACACTTGAGTGTGCAATGTGCGTATGAATTGATTCTGGAACACCAGAAAAATGTTAAGCCTGAAACAATAGTTAAATGATCTTTACGATGTGGAATATCCAAAGCTCTATATGACTCTGAAAATGACAAGCTCTGGTATACCGTTACCAGCGATAGCGACAAAGGTACTGACAGTGACAGTGAATAAGAGGTACTAAACACAGAAAATTGTTTCTTTTCGTCGACAATAAACACATTTGATCAATGTTTGGTAAGTACTGTTTTCATTTTAGCTACTTTTACACTCCCAAAATGAAAAAATATTATAGATAATAGACAGTCTAGTCGTGGTTTATCCTTGTTTATTTTGTTTTTGAAATAAGAGGCAAAAAATAAGGGTGATTCTTATACACGAGAGAATACGGTAAGCTATCGTTGCAGAACTAGGAGGGTCTGGAACCAATATCTTTCTTTATAAGGAGTTGGCTCCATCTCTTCCCCTCAACAAAAGTAGAAAGTTTCATCGTAAGTTCACTCTTCTTTTGCGTAACAGGCAGAATTATAACGTAGAGAATTAATGGTAGCAACCCTTTTTGTTAAGATCACAGTTATTTTTATATGATTATTTTTTCTAAAGCAGAAAACTTATATACTAATGCGACAAGTTCAAATAAACTTTCAAGGGTTCATTGAAGATGTGCCCCGAAGTCAGCAGGAATATTTCGAATAGTCTGTGAAATAATTTAGCTCAGTGTAAAGTATTTCTTCACAAAGTAAATTTGAATCTGATTTATTATTCACTTATTTTTATAACAATGTTAGAGTTTCGAACTAATATCATTTTTTCAGTTATGACATTTTAGCACATTACGAATTATTAACTTTATCAAATATTTCTGGAATAAAAAATTCTTCAAATATTTTTCTTGATCAGTAGTATCCGTTTATTTCTTTAAATTCGTAACCAACGGAATAGTTTGCTAAAATATATAGCTATATTTAAACTGATTATGTATATTTCCTTTCGCGATCAGGTTCATAATTTAACAACAATTCATAATTTAGCAGATCATAATTAGGTTCATAATTTAGTAGTTATCAAATAAAAATAATATTCTTGCACGTTTGTTCGAATTCTTTTTGAGAGTTCCAGTCAATTATGAACAAATCGTATCGACTAATTAATAAAGCTAGTTTTCAAAAGTATTCAGCTGATACTTCATCACTCCATTCTTGTTAATTAATTTGATGATGGCTTGCATTAGTACCCACACGCAAGTTCTGCTATCTTAACTTAAATCGTGCACGTTTGATCATCTTGGTCGATCTGCCTTTCCTCTGCTCAGTGAACGTGAACTGTCTGCTTTATTCTCTGTTGACCTATTTTCTCGTGAGAACTTTTCTAGGGTTCCTGAACTTTTCTTTCTTTGCGCCAAGGTGCAATATCAGACGACCTAAAAGAGGCAATAATCCTTACTGCCCCAGAAATACCCAGGAAATTCTCAAGATTATCTCCGTAAGCAAAAAAAAAAAAAAAAGATAAGTTAAACGCACACTACTTTTGTTTACCCTTAACAAATATTTTCTCCAAGGGAATGCATAATTAATAACTCATGAATGCTTCGAACACATAATAGTGTAAAACTAGCTCTAAATATCAACAGCTAATGATGGGTTAGATCATTCGCAAAGCACTTTTAAAAGTTTATCAAGAGGTGAGTTATTTTCAGTATTTCTAATACACTATTTTCCTACTGTTAAGACTGACATATTACTAAGCATTACAAGTTTATTCACTCAGAAAATAAATATTAGTGAAAAGGGGAAAAGACATTTATTTAATATACAGAGTTTGATCTTCATACACTAGACCAAAACCCTGAAAGACAAGTGTCGATTTATCTCTATATTTTGTAACAGCGAAAGGGACAGCGAAAGGGTGCAAAGGATCTTTTTATTAATCCCAATAAAATTTAACAGATGGCACCAACTTGTGCTTAAAGAAGCCAACACTTTTGGCTTTAAATCAAAGATAATGGATAAACTTAAGTTAATGGAATTTAAGTCTAGTCCAACGGCTTCATAGTATTTCGGTGGTAGTTTAACTACCGTGCGAGTACCTAACTATCGCACGGTAGTTTAAACTACCGTGCGAGTTGGCTGTTGCCGAAGTCAGCAGAACAAGCGTAATGGCAAGAATAACTCAATTCGCCGAATAGAGATTCAAAGTAAGCAACGTGGCTTTCAAGCAGTCAAACCACGCTCTGATTTCACTCTCCAAAACCTTCCTTTAAATACTTTCTTCTTTCTACCTAATTTGAATATCACGAGCGCTTTAAATTTGCATTGTGACAGAGAAAGAAAGGAGGAGGCTTGAAAGGTAAGGGAATTAAAATAACAGGTTACAAAATTAAAATGGTCCTTAAACCTAATACCATATAAAACTCTTAAAAATTCTGAAAAACAGAAAAATTGTCAATTTTTCCCTCACAGGTTAATTAATGTAATATATGTATTCCATTTCACTATAACACTTGTGGTGTTTATGTGCAAGTTTTACTAATGGAATGTCATTTTAATTCTCTTCTTACCTTTCTGCTTTTTTAGCTACGAGGTTGACTCCAAAATTTAATTGCCGGCAAGCAATTTTACTTTGAAAATTAGAGATTTATGAATAAAAATATGAAATTTTAGCCTCCATTCCGTCGCCTTGCCGACTGAAGCAAACAGTCTGTTGGCTACTCTAATACTGATCTTGCTAGGAAAAGATTAGGAGGTCAGGTTCTGTTTTGATAAGCATGTGTTTGATATTCTGTCGAGGTCTAGACAATTCTTGCGAAATTAGATTTAATTTGTTGAATTTATATCCTTTGTGAAATGGAAGTTTTGAGTTATAAATCAAATGCAGGTTGGCTGGTAAATTTGCGTTTGTACATTTTCATTGAAGTGCTCACCAGTGATGATGGAGAATGAGCGTAAAGTGTTTTAACTCTGTGTCTGTCTGTTTGATGGTTTGAAAATCTGGTGTGATGATTGACTTCACAAGACAGATGTAACACCTTACTGACACTGTATTGTAATACCCACAACAGGTGTTACAACACACCCAGCTTGTCGCAATTTTAGTAAAAAAATGTATTCGCCCTTTTTATATGATGCAGGTTTTATTCTATAATGCATAAAAACGGCTTATTTCCTTTTGTGTTGTTACTCATACAATTTTCCCACATTTTTTATTCTGAAATGAATTAGGCTGACTTGGAGAAAAGAAATTTCTTACGAATATTTAGAAAAATATTTATGAAAAGAATTTGAAGTTCATAAAGGTTTTGAATTACCGGTTTTCCAGAATGATAATGTTATGATTCATACAAAAACTAAAATAGGAATAAATAAATTCGATTGAAGTTTATATCGCACTTGTTAAGGCGAAACACTTGCTGCAAATTAAATTGTTTTTAATCGGTTTGTACTCAAAACATGCCATTTCAAATCAGGGATAACAGGCGACCAATCTCATTGAAAGTTTAGTTGCATAGGATTTACGGGGTTTTCTCCTATGTGTGTTGTGAATACGAGTCGGTTCTGTTCGGAAATTCCTTTACAAAGCTATACGATCTCGTACACAATAGATCCTGGCTTAGACAGTTCTGTTTAGAAATTCCTTCTCAAAGATATGAGAACCCGTACGCAGCGATCTCTGGCTTCTTTTGCCATCATCGATTAAGGAAACAAACATACCAAACATTCGAAAACTTCATTTCATGTTGCATTTCGAGAGTCTTGTAACTTCGATTGATCTAATAGTTTTACTAATGAACTTCGAAAAGAAGGCTCAAAATAAAGACAGAAATCACTGTTATTTACTGTGTATTACTTTAAATGTAAAATTATCTCAAGCATTCATGCAAACATTAGTTGTAATAATGTATAGTATTTTTGCGTTCTATGGTTTCGTGGATTTGGACTGATTGATTGATGACAACGCTTGATGAAGGATCAAAACGCAGTTTATTCGACAGTCTTACACAGCTACAAAGAGCATTACAGTCGTAGAAAAACTACGATAAAAAAGCTGAAACAATCCGCAACGCAGCCTTCAGCCTACAATGGTGAAGACAGTTTCATGGCAAAGCACTAAAGTACAGCTCCCGACTCGGTCGATCGCTCTCAAGCTAATCTCAGAAATCAAAGCACTACTGCTGAACTCAACACACTTGAGATACTCTTCCCAATAAACTGTTACTCCGCGTACAGACAGGGTATTTATAGCTTTTGCACTGCCTTCGAGAACATTCTCAGGAAAACCTGTAAGAATTTCTTCTAGAATGTTCTCGCTTCGTCTGTGGCATATCGCCATTTTTGTCGCCAAATTGCGATTTCACGCCAAATCTGGTAACCCTGTTTCCTTGCCATTTTTTGGCAGCCCTAAGCCCGCTTTGCGTGGAAGATATCTTACCGCAGCTAGGCATTTCGCAGCAGTTTGTTGTACTATATGTAACACGTAGGTATAATATAATTGTTTGAACCGTTAGTATTGTAAAGACTGTTAAATTTTCTAGGTGGAGTGTTTGGAAATGTTATCTATGCTAGCGTCAGGAACCTATCCATGGATTCAGATAGTAGATGGATGTTCCATTATGTCAGAGAGGAAACAATGCATTAGTTTCTTAAAACCTCAATCTGGTTTTCCTTCTATAATGTTTAGAAAAAATGTAGTAATGCATCTGGAAATTGTGATACCCATTTTCGTTAGCAGCTACAATACTGAGTCTTTATTTAACATTTACCATTTAACATTTGCAAAGGTTACGTCAGATTATTTGAAGATGACAGGCGAAAGTTAAATTTAGTAATCAATCATAAAATTTACATAAAAAAAAATCTGAAAGTTTTCAGATTACACGTTTCGAGAGCATTTGTGCTAAACATATTTAAAAACAGCATGTCTTCAGAATTTCCGATAGACAGTTTCTCGCGCTGGAAATAAAAATATTTTTTTCCGCACAGTGCGTTGCCACTGTTTCCTTTCAAATCATTGAGTTTCTTAATAAGAAATTTGTTAAAAGTTTTAAAAAATATGAAGTGGGTAGTAAAACAAATTCGAAATTCAAGTTTCGGGCTTCCAGGTGCCTATATCGGGTGCAGAGCTACGTTATTTGACGGCTCTAGGTGCCATTGTTTTTTTACAATGCGAGAAACATACATACATTCCCGCAGATTCTTCATCATTTAATTTCTTTAATACAGAGGCGATAATGTTCGGTGGCAACAATTTGAAAGTGATATAGCAGTTTATAGTCATTCCACGCAAAATCGGGTTTCGAGACTAATAGCCCTTCCAGGCTAACGCCCCTTTGGGTTAAAAATTGAAAAGAAATTGTAGTCTGATCTCGGTATGCGATTCAGTTTAAAAATTAAGATAAACCTATAAGAATTTTTCTCTTTGAAATAAAGAAATGAAGAATATAAAATGTTATATGGGCTATGCAAAACCTTATATTAAAGCTATGCAAAACTGCGAAATAGTTGAGTTAAAGAATGATGGATTGGATTGTGATAAAATGGACGAGAGCTGTCTGTTTAAGAATCGGGATGTCTTCTTTGGAGATTTTTTAAGGAAAATTGGTTCGCATTCACGTTAAACTTTGGAAAATCTACGAAACCTTCCTGTAACCAGCCCGTTCGTTTTGTTTCGAACACAGGTCATATAATCAGCTTTTAGTTAACCTTAACAACTCGGCCTCTGGTAAGGCATCATCTACAAACGTATAAGAATAAGGTTTAATTTACACGGTAATGTGTCAGCCACGTTCAGAATACATGAAAAAGAAAACAGCCAGACACCGGTCATGTGTATCTTACATGAACCATTTAGAGCTACTTTCGACCCCCCCCCCCAATTACTCAAAAACTATTAGATCTACGAACTTCCAATTTTGTATGTCTAATAGAACTCCCTTGAACACCTAGAACCCCAAATTTCATCAATCTTGTAATTATGGAATATTATAGTCTGAAAAATGCCATTTTTATCACTCACGAATTGACTTACTCATCAGACACCTGGACCATTTCTAAATGACTTAGATACTTGAAATTTGGTATCAAGGTAGATTGTTAGAGGGGCAAATACAAAGGAAAAAATCCAAAACGTCAAAAAAATAGTTGAGATCTAACGGATGATGGTTCCACAGTATTTCCTTTAATCATAGCTGTAGGAATGTACAACGTTCTTCGATTCATTTAAGAAAGATTGTCTTTTAAATAAATTAAAGAACGTTGGACATTCCTACAGCTATGATTAAAGGAACTGCTATGGAACTTGCCGTCCATTGTGATAGCGACTACACAGAACGTCATTTCTTCCGAACTTGGATCCTTTTTCAAATTTATATTGTTGTTATGATATCTATTACTGTTACGTATTAATTGTTTAATACTAAAAATACTTATTATTACTTTATTTTTTACAGTATCCAGAGGATAAGCCAGATTACTTTATTATCAAAGAGTAAGTATTTTTCATTCTATATTTTGCACTTGAAACATTCACTTCAGTTATTATATTCCAAAGTGCCTTGAAAAAATTTAGAAATAAATTTAAAACTTGACAATAATATTAAATTTTTAAACATGTTAACTTAAAAATTTTCCGCTATCCGAAAAGTACTATCAATTTCAGAATCAGGATTTAAAAATAATAATAAGATATATTGTGAAAATAAGCATTTATGAATAATAAGCATGGTAAATTTGCTTTTGACTTAATTGACAAATGAGAATTTCTATAAATCAAAACTGATTGCTTTAAAGGCTAGCTAGGATTTGCAAATTTTGTTCAAAATTAAATTGGATGGAAATACTTAGCAGAAAATATAGAACAGACGTGCCACACTAATATTATTGCATACATAGGAAAGTGCGAAAATATCCTGCCATGCTACTATACAGAATATTTTCCTTTATAAAAATGGAAACACTTAATAATTGAGCTTTTAAATGTTGATTTAAATTAGCCTCTATTTATTTAAACTTTTCCTTGATTTTCAAAGACAGTTACTTGATAGGAACTGCTTTATGTCATAAAGTTTATACTTGAATCAAAGAGACAAAATTTTAGTTTTTAATTTAAGAATAAAAGCTTTATTGAAAAAAATAAATAAATAAATAGCAGTGTTTGATATAATCCTGAAACATTGTCACTCAACTTTAATCGTACAACAAATATGAACTCTTCTAATGTTTTTCGGATTTTTATATTATATATTACTGTTTTAGTTCTGCATTTGTGGAGCTGTATTTGCAGGACCCCCCTCTAACAGTTATTTCACATAAGCCACGTATTGAAGTAAGTAACACTTGTTATGCATTTGTAGGATATTTATTCCTCGTTAGGAAATGTAGGAGTTTTAAAATTATGCCGGCATATAGTGAACCGCATTCAACTGAAATTTTTGCTGAAAGTAGTAAGGAATAAGCTCCCAAAACTAGTGTTTTTAATACGGGGTGTTTATTAATGAATGGTGCCATTTAAAAAATTAATAATAAATCATTGTATTACTTATCCCGTGGTAAAACCTATACCGTAAGCATTGGTAATTGTCTAAGTTTCTCATGTGATATTTGATGTTTGCTTTTCAGGCTTACTCTGCAACCGCAGCATGTTTCCAAGATGGCGCAGCAGCAGGAAAAGACTTCTGTGTGATCCATTTTAAAGTGTCCAGATCTATGGTTTCAGTGCAGCGTGAGTTTCGTGCACATTTTCTGTGCACAGCCCATTTTTTTTTTCCAACAAGAAACTATAATCGGTGGACATACTGGAAACCTGACTGTTACCCAAGCTGAACACCAATTTTGATGGTCATATTTGGCAACTGTACGTGCTTCGCCCCTTTTCCACAGGAATGTACGAAAGCTTCTTACTCGTTTTCTTCACTAATGCTGTATTGGGTGAGCTGCAGTAGCAGACAACAGTCTCCGTTTCTTAAGTTCTCCGTTCCAACAGCGGTTTCTTAAGAACAAAGTTTATGTACCGCTAGTGTCCGTGTACTTTGAAGACGTTTGTAATCGGACAAAGCATGTACTGCAGACCGTCACAGCGCACATGCTATACCGATTATGGAAAGAATTTGATTACTATGTAGATGTGTGCCGTGTGGCCAAGGGTGCACATATTGAAGGGCTGTGATTTAAATGTCATCAAAAACTTGGACAGTTGCGCTGCTTATTTTGCCCATCTAAAGTAATGCATCGAATTATTATGAATATTTAAAACCGCACCATTGATTTTATAAACACCCTGTATTTTGTAATATATCTCAAGTGGTTTCCAGTATATCTTAAAATACTATTTTTCTGTATACATCAAGCGAATTTTGTTTCACATTTGTGAAGAAATTTCGCAATGATCAACCTCTGTCATCTTTTCACAACTCATATGATTTTTTCAAAATAGCACTTTATAGTAATATCTTTAGAAGCACAAAGTATGTAATTATTAAGAAACACATTTTGCATAAGCGTAAATAATGCAGTACGTCATTACATTAGCTATGCGTTTACTAAATTTTATACGTTAAATAATATTTTAATTCTATACCACGTTCTTATTAAGAGTTATGATCTAAACCATATTTATTCTATAACTTTTGTAGATTAGTGTAATTTATGATGCATAAATATTCTGCTGCAATCAAAGATCGAAAATAAACATTTAAAAAAATTACGTAATTAATATAAATAATCTAAAGTACGAAAACGTTTTACATTACGCCCAAAGGAGCTATTTTCAACATTTTGTGTGTTACCTTTATTTATTACATATCATGTTCTTTGCACTTAAACCACATAAAATTCAGTTCAACAGCAATATCGCAATCGCAAAATAATTTTAAAATGAGCATATCTTTAGAATTTCCGATACGGTCTCGCACTCTAAAGATAATTTTTTTTTTTTTTTTTTTTTTTTTTTTTTTTGAAATTGTTGAGTTTCTTAATCAAAAATCAGTTAATGTGTTACAAAATATAAAATTGATAATAAAACAAATTCCAAATTCGACCTTCTAGATGCCCATATTAGCAGGAGGATTACGTTATTCAAAATTGGATGGCTCTAGGTACCGTTGTCACAATGCGAAAAACAAACATTTATGCAGATTCTTCATTATTTAATTTCTTTAAATATAACACAGGACGATAATGTTTCGTGGCAACAGTTTGAAAAGCTAATCAACGCAGGCAGTGAATCGATGCAATACGCCAAAACGAAATTTATAGCCCTTCTAAGCTACCGCTCCTTTGGGCTAAAAATTCCAAAGTCCATCATTATTTCTAGTAACATGGGTATGCAAATAAATCAAGAAACGCTTTTGAGGCTGTATTGTACATTTTTTTTTTTTTTTTACATAACACTGTTATACATATTATACACTTAATTTTCTGAAATTGTTACTCATGGGCTACATCTGAAACATGAATCTAGAGAATTGCCTGCGTGAGCGCGACTCAGCTATAACATCATTCGGAGAGAAAACGGTGTAGCACTAGGGTGCTTGGGTTAACATGAACCCTACCCCTTACAGAATAAGTAAGTTGTTTTGAATAATATTAACAAATAACTAAACGAAAAGCTCAAAATTAGATAAATTAAAATTAAAGAAAACTAAGTTAAATAATTAAGCCAGAACAATTTTAAAAAAAGCATTATCGTTAAACAGAAAAATTCTGAATAGTGAGGTAACTAAAAGAACGGGAAGACTGTTAGCCTGAACGCCGCTGAGCTGGCGAGTGACAATAAATAATCGTGTTTAGCCCCTTGCCGCACATTCTATCAAGTTCTGGATGGCTTGCAGACTGGATTTCGCTTTATCCATAAAGTTTGCACTCTGCAAAAATCTGAAAATTTCAGAAATAATTTTTAAGAGTTCTTGAACTTTGGGACCAAATATCCACGAGAGTATCTCCTCTATAGTACTGTGGGTTTCCCTTTGACTTTATTACTATATCACAGTCCGCTTGGTTTTTGCATAGGCCGATGTTTTGCTTCAGAGAGTTCCGGGAAATTTTCAAGTGACGCTTTTCTGGGGCTGGTAATCGCTGTGGCTTCTGTTGATTCCTCTGCTCATACCTTGCTTTGTAAACCTCACAACCACGGAAGCTACTAACATGTTCCCCACTGGAAAAATTACAGCAGGGCTTGTCCTTTGGTTTCTCGTGGCACATATTACTGCGATGCGGGCCTCCGCACTTAACACAACGTTCTGGAATATTACACAGGAGCTATAACATCATTGCACCACTGAACATCCACAGCGAGCTTAGGGTACCAATATGATTTATTTCTCAGAATAAATCATACTAGCAATTTTATGAAATATTTTTTCCCAAAAAGTTTTGAAGTTTTTCCCCTTATTTCTGGTACCTTCATGATTCCGCGTTTATAGAACTTCCGGGCTTTATCAGTAAAAACCTCCACCAAATGCGATTTGAGGTCATCGTTCTTACCGAAATTTTTGCCATTTAAGAAGTTTTATTAGTTTTGAAGCAAATGATCATCCGATGGTGCAAAGTTGGGGTAATGTGGGGGATACGACTTCACTTCCCAAACAAGTTCCAATAATTTAGTACCTGTTGCTAAAGTTGTGTGAGGCCTCGCATTGCCGTGGTTTAACGCGATTCCTTTGCGATTTGCATATTCTAACCTATTCTCTTTGACTGCTTCCGGCCCACCAGCGGCCGAGCGGTAAAGTCGCTGAACACTGGTAGTTCGGTCCGAGGTTCGAATCCCGCGAACATGCTGCGTGGGAGTTTTCGTGGTCTTTCCCATGTGTAACGTGTGTATACGAGCCAGTTTCCCTTAGAAAGTCCTCCACGAAGGCATCCTTCCTCTTAGGCAGATAGCCCTCGAGGCTTTGCCATAATCTCACACACACGCTTTGACTGCTTCCTCCAGTGTCAAACGTTGTGGGCAGTAAATATTTGATTTTATCGTCTGGTTTCTTGGAAGCAGCTCAAAATGCACAGCACCTTTGTAATTCCATCAAATTGACAGCATGGTCTTTTTCTACGACAATTTATATTTCGATAAGATTTGGGTTGATTTATCATGCTTGGGCCGTTATCCCTTCCGATTAATGTTATTGTAAATAAGCCATTTTTCATCACCAGTAATAATTCGTTTAAAAAAATGATCGATTGCATAACGTTCGAAATGCGTATTTCAAATATTGATTCATTGTGTTAAGATAATTTCCTTCAATTCATGCGGAGTCGAAATCGTGCTTAACGACTCCAAGACATCTTATGTGGTTTTCAATTATTACATGTGATACATTTAACCTTTCTAAAATCTCTCGCGCAGTTATATTACGATTCGATTCAAGTATGGCTTTAATTGTGTCAGCATCAACTTTAAAATGTTGGGCAGAACACTGATCACTTTTAAGGAAAAAATCTCCAGAATGAAAGATTTTAAACAAATTCTGGCACATGCGTGCTGGCATGGACATGCGTGCTGGCATTTAGCCGACATGGACACTTAGCCGACAGGACATTTAGCCGACACAAAGATTTAATGTCAGGACATTTAGCTACGGGACACTTAACTGTCAAGACATTTAGTCAACAGGACAGTGAGCCGACAGTGACGTTTAGCTGACAGGTAGCCAATAATTATTTAAACTTACTATCAATTGCAAAATTTCTCGACTTACCCATAAGTTCAATATTTAAGTTACTTTTTTTCCTTCTATCAGTAAAATTCATGTTTCGATTCTTAAAGGTCTCCATATGTGCGTTTAATTCTTCTGTAATTTAGCATTGTTTGATATGTATCGTGCTATTTGGTGTATATTGGCCAAATTGAAAAAGCGCTGAAATTTATCGGCAGGGAATATGAATTAAATTTCGAAAGGAATTTTTTTTTTTTTTTTTTTTCTTTTCTTTTTTTTTTTTTTTTTTTTTTTCCTAAGTACGGCGGTCCCTTAATTACATTTTAATCTGATCTGAAAAATTATCCGTAAAGTCTCTTCATTTAACCAACTGGGTTCTTTTGAACCCCTTCACATCATTAATAATTTTTCTTGTTTACTTAATGACATTAATTTTCCAATCTCGCTCTTCCAAATGCTTTCATATTTCTAATACCTTTACGTTTCATTACTATTTCACTCATCACATCACGTTACATTCTTTCCCTTACAAAAGCGTTTGGCTTCTCCCACGAATAAAGTTTCCTTTCCCTGTCATGAAAAATCTGAATAAACCAATAAAAATTATTGTTATTCTTGAGTAATACTTTTTATAGAAACATAGGTGTGGGTTACTTTAGCAAATATACTTTATTTTGTTATTAAAAACAATTAAAAAAAGAGAATTTTTTAGACAAGCAAGAGTATAAATATTTTGTGACCTCTATAATTTGCTGTTTCATGCTACCATTCTTGAGATAGGAATTCTGTAACATTTTATTGCCTCTCGCTTAAAATACTTACTTAGGTTAATGTTTACAGCTCTAAATTGGTGCATAATGTTTAATTTAGAAGTAAAATGTTCTTTAAGGTTTTGTTTTATTCATAACTGAAGCTACAGAAGGAGGGACCACAAAACAAGTAGGCGGAGCAAAGCGTCACATCCTGAAAAGTCATCATAATGTGATGCCATCTATCAATGCTGGATTTAACTAGATCAGTCATGTAAATGCATAATATTATGTACTTTGTTCTGAAAGTCGCGATGTGTAATTTTCAATATAATATCTTATATTAATGTTGTTCTTATAAAATATAACTTTTATCAATATCTGTTAAAAATGTATAAATTTTCATTTCATTTTTCATTAATTTTATTTTTTCCTCCTCTTTCTTTCCTTTTCTTTCTCATTTTCGGTTTAGCTACATGGTAATGGAAAAATTTTTGGTGCCCATTTTTATGAATGCATTTACAAAGTTCTAGCCTAAAAAGGCAATTTTCATTCGAAGAGACTCGTTATACAGGGTGTTCGGGATAAATTTCCCACATTTATAATTGATTACATTTTCCCGTAGGTTGGAGGTACTGACACACACTACTCGTCATTTAAAAGTTTGAACCCTTCTTCATTCATATACAAGATGTCAGAAAGGATGGATGACTGGAACCCACCTGAATCATGGAAGAGAATAACTTGCATCATGATGATTCGTGCCGGCCATCAAAATAAGGATATTATTTATGACTGCTGCTCAATGCTCCCTGAACACAGTAAAAATAATCAGGCAGGAACTAGAGACTTGCAATGGTGACTATGAGGATGTAGCAAGAAGAAAGATCCCTAGCAGACGATCTGATTGCGTTCGTACAGCAGAATTCCTCGCAAATCTGCAGGAACAGGTGTTGAAGAACCCTGGCATTGGAATTCGGGCTTTGTCACGTGAAATGAATGTGAAATGAATGTTACAGCCTCTACTATGAATCTTGTACTCAATGAAGACCTTCGCTACTACTCATATAAAGGGATTCTCTTTTTCCTTACGAAACTGTCAAATTTATCCCGAACACTCTGTATATTAAGTAAAACGGTCACCTTATTTCTTTTAGGCTCAGCAGAGGCCGAGCTTTAAAGTCATGAAACCTGGCAGTTCGGTCCGAATTTTGAATCCCGCTAACAGACAGGCTGCATGGGTGTTTTCGTGGTTTTCCCCATGTGTAACATGTATACGAGCCAGTTTTCATTAGAACGCCCTCCACGATGGCATCCCTCCCTTTGGCCAGATAGCTCTTTGTCTTTGCTGTAATTACAAAAACCAAACCTACTTCTATTAGGTGACCGCAGATTTAGTTTCTGGCCCTCTGGTTCTGCAGCTTCAGTTATGATGACTATGCAGCAACGATTCCAACTGTAGCATTTTCAGTTAACATTATATTAATTTAGTGAACGTGTTACAGGTACAGAAAGCTGCACTAATCTTATTGCTAATTGATTGTTTTCTTTTCTAGACCATTGAAGCGTTCAGTTACATCGGAGGTTACCTGGGCTTATGGCTGGGACTTTCAGCATTCGCTTTCATTGACTTTCTTCATTCATTGATTGAATTACTCTACCACTTTGTTCAAAAAACGTTTCGAAAGCTTGAAGTGTTTTAAATTTTTGCAACCTAATCCCACAATCTTACTTACATCTATTAAAATGCAAAACTTAAATTGTTTTGAAACTATTGATAACATATTTCTTAAACAGAATGTACTTTAAGCTTAAAAACCTAATTTCAGTGAGGAAGTGATTCAAACTCACTGTGACAGTGTAGTGATTCGCACAACAAATGCAAACCATCCCAATAATGCAGGACAATAACTGAAACAATTTACGGTGGGAACAATTTTAATCCATTCAAGCATGACATCAATCTGAAACTACCAGACATCTTAAAAATAGATCAACAACCATTAAAAATATTAAATTAATGTTGAAAATGTTAAGAATTTGCTAATTTGTAGTTGCAAAATTATACATGTAAACTATTATATGTACCCTGTTCCACAATTCTCCAGTTTAATTTAGTATGTGTCCCCTTTGTTGACTGTAAGAGGCAGAATGTGCGTTTTCAGCCTTTGTTCCCCTTTCGTTCTGTTTGCAGATTTCAGGAAGTTGATTATAGAGGTTTTTAGATGCCTATAGTTTCTTTAGAAATTTAAGAAATTGTTTACAGTTAGAGAAACTGTTTCTGTTTCTCCAGGATAGTTCTGAGGTAGAACAGGGCATTTACTTTAAACAGATATGTCGCTCTGCTCACCTCAGCTTGATTTGTATGCTATTCTTGACTGCGGACTAGACAGATGCCCACTTCTTCAGACAGTTCAAAATTATTGTAGAAGGTATGGATCTTTTATACTCTCTTTCTCAACAGAAGAAATATCCCTCAGGTGTTCCCCAGCTTTATGAGCTTTATACAGAGTATCTCAACAAAAGCGTTAAATATACTCGTAGTATACTTCCCAAAATACTTTATTTTTAGAAAATGGAAAATATTTTTACATGCTTACAAGAGGTATATCTGATTTAAGGATGCCGCGTTTGATTTAACGTAACACTGGAATTTTATCACTGTCAGCTCATTACATCCCCTCGTTGCTGCATAGTCGATATGGAGTTTTACACAAAGGCGCAGTAAGTTTTGATTGCGAGAACTCATTACAAGAATGGCTAGAGTTATAAGCAGACTGTTGAGAAGCTTCTTGCAATCTTTGCACAATGACGTAACGAAATAACAATTCACAGACTTGTGAAGACATTTGAGGACACAGGGTCAAAAATAGACATGCTGTCAGTCACTACGCTCTTGATCCAGCTACTCTGTTGAAAGCATCTCTGTTCTGCATGACGAGTATTACTACAAGTCTTAAGAAGTCGAAAAAAAAAAGCTTGAAGAAGAACAAGAACAAAACTAGAATAGGAAATTGAACGTGTATTAAATCTCTAGCTAGGTAGATATATGAAACAGTGATTACGAATTTCATCGAAAGAGTGTGGTGCTGCAGAGCAAGTTGTCGGGGACGTATGCCAGACGTACCTTCTCAAATCGGAACAGTTACCTGTTGTAAATGTATAAAACTGTTTTCCACTTTCTAATATTAAATCATGCGATTTTTTTGAGACGCTTATTATTTAGGGAGCGTTTGCAGGCTTCAATGTCAATAATATCCTTTGTCCTTTCTCTGCTCGTTATAATTTTTAAAACACATAAATACATTGCCTGTACTTATACATCACCTAAATAGAACATAAAAAACTAGGCATTTGATACATCCAGGGGTGTTTGTGGGACCCCAAAAAATCCCCTGAAACTTTTACGGACTTACTTACCGACATTTTGGAGTTTCGAGAAGAGGGGGGAAGAGAAATGAAAAAGTACAATTATGAAGTATTGAATGACCTAATTATAAAAGTTCAATGAATTACTTTTTTTGCAAAATTAATAACCATAAATTTTCAAACATATAAACTACTACATTTTATGTAAATATTTTAAATTACCTGAATTAATTCTTTAAAAAAATTATCTAATTTCTGCTGCTTTTTTTTTTTTTTTTTTTTTTTTTTTTTATTTTCTGTTTTTGATGTTTGTGGGCTTGTCTTTCTTTTGTGGTGAACTTCATAATTGCAGGAAGGTTGACTTTTATTTTCCTCATTTACAGTTGAAGAAATTTCCTCGAGAACTGCACATGCAGAGGTAGAAGCAGTTTGCTTTTCTGCTAATGTAGAAGGTTTTTCAGAGACTTTTATAGGTGACTCATCTGAAATACATGTTTTTAAGTCCTCTTGATATGTTTTCCAACTTCTGTTCATATTCAGTAAGAGATCTTTGTGAATTGGATCAGTCATTGGATTTTTTGAGCCATATTTTTCACATGAGGTTTCTTTAGAAGCCATTAAATCATATTTAATAGTCTGCACTGCATCTAGGGAATCAATCTTAAGAGAGGTTCTATAGTCAGTGACAAGTGTATCCATTAAGTTGAATGCACTTTCCACTAATGGGCCATGGAAGCAGCTAAGGCAGGCTTTGACCAATTTAGCCAATGTAGGATACTTATAATCATTTGTGAAATCATCTTTTAAATTAAAAACTTTAGACCAATATTTATCAATTGTACACTTGACTTGATTTCCACTTTCATCAGATGTGTAGAGCATTTCTTTGGTGATATCAATATCACTCTGGTATAACCTTATTTCAGCTTCTACTTTTGACTTTTCATTATCACTAAAAATATGGGACATAAAAGATGATAATTTTTCAAAAGCTAATATTGTACTGGTTTTACCTCTTAGCTCTGGATCTAATGCTGTAAAACTAATTAGATATGAATTTTTAAGGGGTAATTTCTGTTTCATATGCTGTGCTGTATTAGTATAAGCTTTCATCAGAGAAATTTGGAATTCTTTTGCTATTGGATGATTTTTTGATAATTTCTTCAGGAGAGTGGAAGCTTCTGCACCAGTAAATATTACTTTGCTAGGTAGATGGAATTCTGGATTTGTGACATCAACCTTTAATAAATCATTATAAGATGTGCACTCTATATTTTCTGGCTTCATAAAAAAAAAGAGAAAAATTTTGCCATCAATTTATAAATACTGGAATGTATTAAATGAAGCATTGGTTTTTTTTTTTTTTTTTTTTGTTTCAAATAATTTAATATATGTGTTGAACTCTGGTAATACTGCTGAATATAATGCCATATGCAATAAAGTTTTGTTTTGCATAACAAATAACCCATTTAGTATTCTTTTTTTCCGAGCTAAAGCATCCTTTGTGAGTTGTTGGGAATGCAAGCAAGAATACACACCCCTTCAACAATTTTTTTCTGAGCTGCAGAAATATTTCTTTTATTGTATACAGTTTCAACATAAGAAAAATAATCCCCTTTATCAGTTTTATCCAAGTAGTGAAAATAAAATGCAATAAGAGCATCCCACAGATCTTTGATTCTTTCTAAAACACATAAAATGTACACCCACCTATGGTCTGGTCTCTTCAAGGGCTTAAGTTTTTTAATGGCAAGGGATTCACAGATTTTGAAAAAAATTTTCTCTTTTACTGCAGCTTTTCATATCAAAATAGATGTCATCAAACAAATCTTCTAAGTATCTATCAAAACATGAAGCAAATTTTTTTGCACAGTTATTAGCTGTGTGACATGTGTCACCATCAATATCTAATAAGTGGGGTGCTTTGTTTGATCGTAGTCTGGTTTCAACACCCTTTTTTTTTCCACGCATGGTGTTACATGAGTCCATTAATACACTAATTAAGTTTGCCCATGGAATATTATTATCTTCAATAGTATTAACAACTGCTTTAAAAACAGCTTCTGAATTGCAAGATTCCATCTTTAGAGATGCAAAATGATGAACTACAACTTCATTTTGATTGTTGTCATAAAACTGCACCAATATTGCCAGTATACTTTCTTGAGCATTGCTAGTACTTTCATCCAAATTTAGAGAAAATGGAGTCTCCTTTAAAGTTTTAATGATATTTTCCTTAATAGTTTTTGCGAGCCCATATTTCATCTTATAACATGCAGTAGTCCTGGACATTTCCAACGAGTTTAGTGCCGTCTGATCGCGGCTCAACTGTTTGCAGAGTTCAATTAAATTGGGAGCTACATTGAAAGAAAGAGAATTCTCGGCGATAAACGAAGTTATTAATACCTCTTGGCGTGCTTTTCTTGTCACTATATCCAATGGCCGAGCATCAGTCTCCAGTAAGTCATCAGTATTTTTTGAATTAGCATAATTACTTAAAGTCATTGAATGTCTAATGCACTTTGAATATTTTATGTGCGTCACAGTTTTAGAATGATTTGTGAAAGCCTTGAATCCTTCCCCACCATACTTCAGCAGTGAGTTACAAAAAACACAATATGCTTGTCCAGCAACATTTATTTTCTTGCACCATGTGCCGATGGTATCCCCATTACCATCTCTCCGTTCAATCCAATTCCACCTAAATGCATTCCGGACACCTTCTTCTAATTGTATAATATCACTATTTATATCGAGAAATTTCATAGTGAAATTCTCTTGCGTACATAAATAAAAAAATATTTCAATAAACGAAACGAAAAATTTACACGTGCATCAATAAATGAAACGAAAATTTTACACAGCGGAGAAAAAAAAGTTGAGAAGCGATCAATGACAAATAGCTAATACGGCGAAAAATCCCCCTTCTCTACTTATTGGCGCCACGCCAGGAGAGATAAGACCTTTGAACCCAGAGTCACGTGATCGCACATCTGGTCGAACGAAGTCTCTCCTTTTTTTTTTTTCTGCCGCGCCTACTTGCCGAAAAGAATCCAGAAGAGAATGTCCGAGAACCGGGGAATGAGTCATAACTCGCAATAAGGAAAGAACAAAAAAGAAGTTTTTTCCCCCTTTTCACGCATTATCACTGCCTTTGGAGAAAGAAAGGAAAAGTTTTCACCACACACACTGACCTTGCGTTTTCTGCTTTCAAAGAAAACAAAATTACGCAGATCAAAATAAATAATTCATTATTATTCCTACTTCCTTTTGAACGACGATCAGTTCAAAACCCCCGGAATTCCGGGGTTTCCCCGGAGCACAAGCACCCCTGTACATCTAAATTTGA